CTGTCAGCCCCGTAGTAGCCAACTTATGTATGGAGGAAATTGAAGAAACAGCAATCGATTCAACCCCGGTTCCACCCAAAATCTGGAAACGTTACGTAGGCGACAGTTTTTGTGTCATCAAAAAGAATGCAGTTACTTCTTTTCGTGACTCACTGAACTCTATCGACCCGCATATTTCCTTCACCATCGAGCACGAATCTAATGCCAGCTGCCATTCCTCGACACCCTTATTTCTCGTGATAATGAGAGGCTCAACATTGATGTCTATCGGAAGCCCGCGCACACGGACAGATATCTTGATTTCCGCTTACATCATGACAGAGGGCACAACATCAGCACTGCGGCGACACTTTTAGATAGAGCCCTAAAATTACCAAACTCGGAAGCTGGAAAAGCCCCTGAAATTGATCGCATTAGCACCGCGTTACAATCTGATGGCTGCCAACAAAAAGTCACTGCTGATATCATAAGAAAGAAATCTTTGACTCCTCCAACACCTTCACCTGAAGAACTAGTTGGGATGTTCTTCAGTTGGGCTGACCCAACGAATAGTCAGAGCTTCGCGGTCCTTCCCTACCTCAAGCTATGAAGAATCCCCCAAGCCGAATGACAGTGCCTGAAAACTCCTCCGGAAACTTCATCTGAATTTGCTTTGCCTTCGTGTAGATAGCAAGGTCAAAGGTGATGACGGCGTCGACCTGTCCCAGGTTAGTACACATCTTCTGGGCGTGTTCCATAACTGTGTAAACCGTGCTGAATTCGGTGGATGAGCCTTCGATCATAGGACAGTATCCAATTTTGCTCGCAGAAGAAACTTCAGGGTACAAGATCGAGTTGAATCCACCCCAGCTCGGAACTGGTTGCTCTTCCTGAGCTTCAATGCCCGTCTTCAATAAACTTGCTGGCTTCATACGAAGGAGAGTCCAAGTGCCGTCTGTGTTAGTTGCTTTAGAGAGAACGCCACTCTCACCTTTGAGCCATTCTTTGTCAACGGCACCAGTATACTGAGTAACTTTAGGTCTTCTTCCATATGCTGAACATTCTTGCAACTCATAGACACTTCCACCTCTCTTCAGTCTACGACGTCTCTCCGAATGATTTCCAGCTATGGTAGGCGGTGGTTCTGGACCAAAACTCTTTCTCTGGTAGACAACCATGGTTGTGGCATGGGTAGTATTTTTGCCATCTATCGTTTCCTCCCTTAAATTGTTGTTATCGGCAGCAAATTGCACAAAAGACCCCGGAGAGATGTTTGATGGGATGACTGTTCCATAGGTTTCTACTTTGGCCAATACTTACGTTNCTCCAACACCTTCACCTGAAGAACTAGTTGGGATGTTCTTCAGTTGGGCTGACCCAACGAATAGTCAGAGCTTCGCGGTCCTTCCCTACATCAAAGGCATCACCGAGCCTCTTTCTAGAATTCTCAAAAGTCATGATATTCGAGTAACCAACAAGCCAATCAAGACACTACTACAAGAGTTCCCTGTTCCCAAGTTTCGACCTCGAGTCGACGACCTGTGCAATGTTGTTTACAAAATCCCTTGTGGGTCTTGTCCCTGGAGTTACATCGGCGAGACAAAAAGATCGTTTAGTACAAGGCGAAAAGAACATATCAGAAATACTAAACAATGTGCTAAAGGCTCCAATGTAGCGAAACATGCCTGGACCTTTGATCACACCATCGACTTTAACGATGCTGAGATAATTGACAAAGGCAATAGCTGCATTAGAAAGACGCTGGAATCCTGGCACACAGCGAAAACTGTCGAGGCCGACAACAATTCGCGCCCTCTGCCGGGACAATATAACATTCTTTTAAACAAACGCTAATTTTACACTTTTAACATTCTCACATTCTTTCACACGTATTCTATTTAATATATGCCATTCGCTTAATATATTCAAAATTCTTAGGTCTATTTTATCATCTCATTTTTGTCCGTCGAAGACAGCAGACTGGCTGTTGAAAGCTCANGACAACAATTCGTGCCCTCTGCCGGGACAATATAACATTCTTTTAAACAAACACTAATTTTACACTTTTAGCATTCTCACATTCTTTCACACGTATTCCATTTACAAATGCCATTCGCTTGTTATATTCAAAAACTTTTAGGTCTATTTTATCACTTCATTTTTGTCCGCCGAAGACAGCAGACTGACTGTTGAAAGCTCACAACTTTAAACAATTTTACCAGTGAACGTTTTTTGTCTCTTTTATAATGAATCCTGGTATCGGATCTTCAATATTTTTAGCTTCAAAGCCTTATTGAAAAGAACAAAATCTTTTATGCCAAGACCCCCATCCGATTTCTTCTTGATGAGGGTTGTCTTTTTTATTTTGGCGGGTTTTTGTTTCCAGATAAAATCGAACACTATTTTATTGACCTCTGTTGCAAAGTTTTTAGGAGTCTCCATAACACTGGAGATGAATACAAGTTTGGAGAGGGCTAACGTTTTAACAATATTTATTCTACCGTATATAGATAAGTCTCTTCGGGACCAGACACTTAAGGTTTTCTTTAGGGATCCTAATTTTTCAAATAAATTTTTCTTATGAGACAATTCAATATTGTAAGTAAAATACACACCGAGCTCGTAAACAGGATCATCGCTAATTTGGAGATTGCAAATTGCGTCTTTCCTATGGCGCATGGAGCCAAGCCATAGCATTTCTGATTTTGCCTGATTTGTTTTTAGGCCAGAGCACTTTTCAAACAGTGAAAGTAAGTCAAATAAAGTAGAAACTGACTGGACATCAGCAAGAAGGGCAGTTGTGTCGTCAGCATATTTCGTGAGCTAAACCTCTTCATTTCCCTGGATATGTATGCCCTTGATGTCTTTTGACCGTTTTATACTTTGGGCAAGAAGCTCCATAGCAATAACAAAGAGTATGCCTGAAAGGGGACAACCCTGACGGACACCGTATAAGCCACTTCAGAAGAAATATAAGAAGCCAGGTCTTGAGGGATTAAACACTAAAGCTATATTTTCACTTAAACTGCTTGATCTTGGAATCATGAGATTTGATTATTTTCTCAAACTCATTTAATACTTAAGTCATCAAGTTAAAAGTAGCAAATCGTAACCGTGATCAGTGATTGATTAGATATCGTTTCTTTTCTTGTTTTGTTCTTTTTACTGCGGTGAACAATTTAATTTTGTTACCGACTATTCAGTAGAGAAAACTTTTTATCGATGGCCACACTCACAGACAAAACTACTTACAATGCAAACTACTTAACTGAAAACACTACTAACTTCCAAATGTAATACTTACATTACCTACATTAACATAGTCACACGAAATACCCTACAAACATTACGTTACATTCCTTACTTTGCGGTATTTACACCGCAGTTACAATTACAACATCTATATACTATTTACGTAGATATACTTGCACCACTTACATTACGGTACTTTTTCCCCTCCCTCTGTTGTATATAATATTATTTAGACACGAGTAACTCCTTTTATAGTTATTACAGTAACTTCTTTTATTTCTAGTTTACTGAGAAAACACTATTAAATATGCATTACTCATATTTCTTCTAAATGATAATACTATTAACAATTTTGTTCTACTAGTTGCCACACGCTATTGCATAATACTGGTATCTTTTTAACTACTTGATGATTTCGTTTCTAATAATTGTATGGATTTTTACGATTTCGATTCATCTCCCTGTTGCCTGTTGCTTTAGTTTTGATTTAGAAGATACACCACGAGAGTCAGTGTTTCACCACAAACCTTGTTCACTTTTCTTCTTTATCAGCTGCATAGTTCTGTTATCGGATTCTTCCGTCATGTAAGTTAGAGGAACTACCCAGGTAAATCTGGGGAGTTAAAAAACAGAGGATTGTCAGTTACTGAAGAAAAAAATCTTCGATTCTTTGGCGCCACAAAATGCATACGAGATCTGTTAATTGACATCTAAAAAATCAGTGGTTGGGCATTTCAAAAGACACTCATAATTCTATTCAAATAACGGCCCTTTTTCGGGTTTCTGAAACCGGTAAATTGGGTGAAACTTGACATTAAATTCAGTGTATTGACTTCATGTTTTAAATTACGGTTTTGTGGACCCGACGGCATGGGTCACCCAGTGTCAGTCAATGTATAGAAATCGTCAGTGTCTAAAAGGACAGATAATGGCAGAGGAACTGTCGCACTTACTTAGCTTGTGTATTTGTGTCGGGATGAACAAGAAAGCGTTGCTGTGTTACATGAACTATCTTTGGGTCATTGTCATCTTTCTCAACTGTCATCACAGGGAAGCCCATTTGATCTGTCCATGTCGTCATCATCTCTGTGACATCGAGTCCAACCTAAACAACGCACGGGTTTGGTAAACATGACAGAATAACAATTTACAACAATAATGTTGATCAACTTGTCACTGGCTTTATTTTATTGTTATTTAATCTAAATGTAGTAAATTTGACGAGTCTATTACACGATGAATTCGCGTTATCTACTGGATTTGAATTTGGCAATGATCTTCGAAACGTCCACACTCTGCCCAAAACGCGAAAAAAAACCAACTTTCATTCAGTTGAGTCAGTTTTGATATTACCGATCTTCACCTTAAATCAACCCAGTTCGTTACACAACAGTCGACAAGCATGCACAGAGAGGCAAGCGCAAAGAAACCTGCCTGTTCAGCAATATATATTAAGAAGGATGACAGGAAACAAGGAAAATAATGCTCAGAAATTAGTTTCCAAATATTAATCGAAAACCACAGTACGTTGGCCTTATAGTGAAAGGTGAGTATTCTATAATTTCCTTGGCGATAGATAGCCGGATTGACAAGGTCTAGTTTTCGTTTCATATGGGCGTGGACAATCAACAGGCTCAGATTGAGCATCAGAACCCCTTCGAGCCACAGAAAGGTAGGGCTATTTACTAGTTTAAAGACGACGCATTGACAGATTTAATCGCAACAACCCACCTGCTAATCCTATATGTTGTCTTTTGCGGTCTTCTGTGGTTTGTATGACTAAAGGAATCATGCTTGTAAAAGATGGAAAACCTTAGGGGAAAGTGTATAAATATTATAATATGTAAAAAAAAATACTATGACTGTACCTTTCCTTTCTTGGCTTCCTGTGTGAGGCACTGCCATAGATCTTCCGTATTTGCATTACTAAAGCTGTACATCTGAAGGTAATGCTGCAATCCCTGGAAGAAAACATTTCTTCCAAGAACATCCTCCAACATCCTGATAATGGCTGCACCCTACATGTAAGAAGTAGAAAAGTGAAATCGGCTATCACTCCATAAATCGGAATCTTTGATAAGGCACCAAACCATGAAATTATGATTTAAAAGCAAAATTTAGAATAATATGAGACAAATTGAAAAAGTAAGTTAATTCATGTAATTATAAATTAATAAGTCGTTGCAAAAAGAAGACCAAAACATAACAGATTCGATTTCAATGCTTTAGGCTAGTGCAAAGGAATATAATAAATGCTATAACAAAATGAAAGTAGTAAATGTCCGAAGTACTAAAAATAAAAGAACGACCAAACCCTTGTCACTTACCTTATCATAAGAAATTGAATCAAACAAAGAATTGATCTGTGCTGGGTCCTTCACGTCCGCCATGATGGGATGAGAGTTAGCAAGCTGGTCCATAGTCATGGCGTTTTGGTTTGCGCCAAGAAGAGACTGATCCAGCATTTTCCACTCAGGGTAGATGTAATTTACACCAACATTTTCCATGAAGCTGGCAAATCCTTCATTTAGCCAAAGATCATTCCACCACTCCATTGTAACTAAGTTCCCAAACCACTGTAAATTAACAAAAAAGAAAACAATGAACCCAGGAATGTGTAAATAGTCTTAGGCATATATTGCATCAGTTAGGCTGTGTTCACACTTGTTGCCCGAGCACTGGTGCCTGGGCACCGGCACAAAATAGTGCGTTTAGACACTGAATACTCCAAGTAAAAAATGTAAATGCAAATGTAAAATGTAAATGTAAATTTTAATGTCAAACACAGGGAATGCTTGCGCAATCACCCGAGCCAGAGGCTCATGATAAAGTACTTGACGATAATCCAGATCGAATTGGAATTTGGAAATGTTGGTTTTTTCGAGGAGAGGGGAAAACCGGAGTACCCGGAGAAAAACCTCTCGGAGCAAGGAAGAGAACCAACAACAAACTCAGCCCACATATGACGCCAGGTCCGGGAATCGAACCCAGGACACATTGCTGGGAGGAGAGCGCTCTCACCACTGCGCCATCCCTGCTCCCCACAAAGTACCAAGTACCATGTAGTGCCCGGGTACAAGGTTAAGACCATGTACCCAGGCACGGGCACTGTGCCTGAATTCTGGTGTGAGTACTCGGAAAAAGGATGTGTTCACATTGGTGCTTAGCGAGAATCGTATTCTGGGACCGTGCTTGGGTATTGAGTGTGAACATAGCCTTACTCAGCAAATTACAATCCCTAAGCGATGAAAGTATTTGACAAATGTCTCCCATAAGGGATTATTAGATTTTAGATTAGATTACCAGTTCGGAAGACGAATGACCCCTCTTCGGCTAGTATAAGTAACGCGTTTATAATATTGGGTGTCAGATACAAGAATTTCCCTTGGCAAGCTGCCTACAAGAACAGTAAATTTAGAAGAAAATTTGTTCCTTTTCAAACAAAACACAAACCTGATGAGCAAGCTCGTGGGCAACAACCACGGCAACCCACTCCTTGTTAGAATCTGAAGATTTGTTCTTGTCATACAACAAAGCAGTCAAGCGATAGGTGATCAAACCCCAGTTTTCCATAGCTCCGGCAGCAAAGTCGGGGATGGCTACGAGATCTGTTACATAGGAAGCCATTAAATATGATATTTAGCTTTGAATTTCAAATAGCTCTTCATATAATAATAATAATAATAATAATAATAATAATACTTAATTTATATAGCGCTATTTCTATCGCTATCTATCGGCCCCTTCGAATATGGTTTACCTCTAAAACTATCAATAATACATGCTAGGAGCAGAACAGTGTAAAAGTGACTAATTAAGACGTTTTAAATTCTCTCCTCGGCCCCAAGACGGTGATGATATTAGATTGTAACGACCTTCAAGTCTAAATATTCATTTTTGCTACTCACTGAGTTAGATTGGCCGCTTAAGTTATTGTGGGTAACTTTTACCAGTTCCCGTTTTTATTCATTACGTTTGTAAATATTTCTTTAAAGGAAAGTAGTAAAGTTTTGCTGTTTTTGGAACATTCCTTTTAATGCATCTCGCCCAAATAGCCTTAGGTAGTTCTTCCAGTTTGTGATTTACTAAAAAGACGTGAAGATTTAAAATACATAGAGTATCTTGAAATGAACTTTTTGACATTGTTATGATGACTGTCTTCACAAGGACTGGTTGTATATACCTTGCTTTGGAAGCGGATAGTCAACCTGGAAGGTGTCTTCATAAAACTGCAGAACTTTTACCGCAACATCCAGAGCAAACTGACCTTGATTAATCTGTTCAGGAGGTGCCCAAACACGCACCTATATAGAAGCAAACATTTTATCAGGGAAAAAATTATCTAACTGAACATATTCCAATCTGATACTTCTATGATGCGTCTCTTAACTCGATATTAAGTCATCATGGATTCTTAACGAAGTTTAAGCCAGTGACTTTTTTTTCACTATTTTTCATTTTATTTCAGAACTGATTATCTACATACAGAAACAAAATAATGTTTTAACTTTACCTCGACACCTTTCTGTGTCTTATTTGTTATGTTTTTGAAATCGCAGACAATGAATGCCACAAGATAGGTACTCATCTTTACGCTTTGTTTGAAGTGGTCTGTACAGAGTTTCACTGAATCATTACACTGAAACAAAAATTCAAGCAGCATAACTGATAGTCTTAAAAACAGGATCATGGGGTAATGCAATTCAAGAGTTTTCATTGGCTTAGCCATCGGGATATATTTAACAATTAGTTTTCTATAACGGTTTGGGGGCGTTTTTAGTAGAAGCAATTATTCCACCCGCGTTTGTTGGATATGAGATGATTATAGCCAAGTCGGCAACACACACCTCGTTGGCTATCTAGCTATCTGGTGAAATAATTGTTAAGCATACCTACAAACACAGTCACTGATATAACAAAATTTAACAATTAAAAAGCTTTTGATGTAAGTAATCTTTGTGAGAATTTGATTTTTTCTAATTGCAGTAACATAATGAAGTATCTTTCAGAAGTCTCACCCCTTCAGTGCTCTCCAGTGGCATGTTTGATAGCGCTACATGACGTTTCTCTCGTGTTATGACAATGGAAAACTTTGCTTTCATGTTAGGTTCATCAAAGCAAGGGAAGGCGTTTCTCGCATCAGTTGGTTCAAACTGAGTGGTAGCAAGGTATCTAGAACAAGAGGGAAAACACCAGATATTTTTAGCGACTAATGACACAAGTATCTGCAAATGTCTATGATCAGTGGAGTGCCTGTCTCCATGCCTGACCTGACAAACCGTGACATCTCCAGTGAGCTTAGTGCTGCTATTTGATGACAATCAAATACCAAATTTTGATTTTGATTTAGGCAGTGCTTTAAATCTTCTGATAATTTGACAAAAGAGACTTGAGACACAGCTTTCCTGAGAAACGTTTTAATTTTTGTGGGATCATGTGAATCTTTCTCATGAACATCAAAGAAACTTGCACAAACTTTTTTCACTGTAATTGTAATTTGGGTTGTTCATATGTAGGTTTATTATGTCTATTACTTTATTATTTTCTCCTGTCCTTTCTGGTTCCTCACCTATATCGAAAGTTAACTAATTTTGTAAATATGGAGACCAACTAGAAAACCGAATGGTTTACTTGACCCCCATACTCTAACTGTAATATTTATCAACTGGAAAGGTATATTGTAAACATAAAGACATAAAGAATGTTGTTGTTGTGGTTATGTCAGTAACAAGGCGCTTTTTGAGGTATTTTAATTCCTACATACCTCTTACCAACCGAGTTCGAGGGCCGTACTGTAAGTTACGGACCGAGTTTTTCCCCATCGATTTATGGCCCGCGCGCTTCGCGCTTGGGCCATAAATCGAAGGGGAAAACGAGGATCCATAACTTACAGTACGGACCGAGAAAACGAGGTTAGTAAGATATTTATTATATCTCTACTGTTTGTCTGACGGGCTCGGGAACGATTTCTATTCACGCGGAACGGCGTCAAATTTCTGACGCACCTCGAAAGCAAAACGACTCAATTTGAAATCATTGTTAGATGACTCAGTCGTTAGCAGGTTTCAATACACAATTTTAGTAGTAAAAGAAAGTTTTTCACTTTTACTTGCTAAAAAAGTTAAGAACACTTGGCAATACATCACGAACATTTCGGCAACAAAAACAGCTTTAAATTTTAGCGGGCCGTACAGGAGAATACGGCCCGCTAAATTGACCAATCACAGCGCGCGTATTAACTGAGAGATATAATAAAGTAAGTTAATGACTGAAGCATTCATCTCTCTTAGAAATTTTAAACTAGGACTTCGTTCGAATCAACCGATTTCAACTTGCAGTGAAGTCGAGTCGCACGTTCGTGACGACCGATGAGGGCTCGACGGATGACGACCGAAGAGTGTTTTTATGAAACTTTTCAAGCAATTTGTCTTCTAGATCCCACAAATAAGAAATCAATCACAGAACTATCTCTGGTTAAAATATCAAAAGATTTGAAGCCTTACCGGTCAGCTTTTTGACCTACTAGATTAATTGGGCGTATTTTAGACTCTTTACTCATATGCTGAAAATGTATTTAATTATTCCGGCCTCGATTTGCTCATGATGAACTGCGCATACGGTTTGAAATAATCACAGGACTTGACCGAGGAAGGTTCAGTATATCCCAATAAACTTTAGGACGATTCACAGCGATTTTAACGTTTGTGTAACGAGAAGCCAAAAAGTGTAAAATTTCCCTTTCTCGCGAAGCAAAATCTAAGTTTCCAGTATAATGACCGTTTTTCGCGAATTTCTGCCTTTATATTGAATATTTCCAAGAACTAACCTGATATCCTTCAACTAGTGACCTAGGCCTACAAACGGACGAAGTTTAAGCAAATTGATTTTTTTCACCGTGCCCCCGATTTCTTTGATTTTTTACTGACATTAATTTTACTCTTGATCGTACTTGTTGCAAGGCTTCGTCTTTCTTGTAATTATTTAGTACCTTGAATGGTTTATTTTGGTGATTGAATAAGGTTAAAATAGACCAATTTCGATATATTAAAATTCAGCACGAGGCTCCGGGGAATAAACCCCACAAACTCTGCAGTTATTCCCCGAAGCCTCGTACTGAGGTCTATTGTTTTAGGCTGAATTTTAATATATTAATAACCACGAAGTCTTACAGAAAAAAAAAAATAATAATTGTAGCCTTGTACGATGTATTAGCTTGTATTATGAGAGAATATGATTCTCTTGATTGCATATCCAGGGCGCGAGACAGAACTGAGATCTAGTTGAGATATCTGTTTCGCAGCCGATTTCAATTCTTGCTGGTTAGCAACTAAGGCCAGTCACTCCTCAGACGGAATTTAGGTGTTTCGAGTGAGTTCTTCTTGCTGGCTGGTTTTAAAATCTAGTTTGACGCGGATGATTTCTTCTAAAAACGTTCAAATCACCAACAAACTCCAGGACCTTTAAAGCTGGCTTACGAGGAAACCGGCGTTAAATTATTGAAAATCGTCGTCCAAGAATCTGGCCAAACAAATCGTTTCCTTTCTAGATGTTTCAGGGGAGGAGAATGAGGCGGAGATCGAGATTGTTCTGGGTGAATGATTGCGTGACGCTCAAAGAGCGAAAACAAACGAGAGACACGGTATATGCAGATTTTCTGAGTTGTGTAAACGTTCTAAGTCATTTTCGAATCAGAGCTCTGAAACTTCGAATAAACAAGATAAGGATACTGGATCATGCTTTATATGAAAACTTGTGATATTTAAGGAAAGAAAGTTTTAGCTCCATTTCGTAAAATCTCCAGTAAACGTGGCAGATACGAGGCCATGCAGGAAGTCAATGAGTATACCGTTTTGATGCCATTGTTAAACACAAACTGTAAGCTACTGTAGAAAGAAAACATCTCTCACCTTGTTTCACCTGATGGTGATGTATATTTACTCACGTAGAATCCAGCTAGGCCCTTACTTAACTCTGAATCGAACTCGATTACCAGAAAGTAATGACTGTCGCTTTGCAGTTCGCTGTCAAGCTCGATGCAGATCATTTCACCTGTTAGTCGAGATATCTGCTTCACTTGCAAGGCCTGTTTAATTTCCGTGTGATTTGAGTCTGGAATAAATGCTACTTGAACGTCAGTGTAATTGATCTTCTTTCCAACATGGAGTGTAACATTGTTAGAAGCTTCATTGCACCAAAGAAGAACCTCGACCTTTCCCGAAAACTTAAACGTTGTCAGATCGGGATGTAAATAGACATGATATTCGATCGGCGATAAGTGTCTCGGTAGTCGTAATGATTGTTCGACTTGCGCTTTCTTTTCTTGTTTGGATTCTACAGAGGAAGAACGCAAGAACACAGCGAGAAGCACAACCAAAACCAACAGCAGAACAGCTACGACGCCGAAGATGGTAGTCTTCCGGTTGACTGGAAAGCACGGGAATACTGTCTTGCTGCGGCTGTTTGTCTCGGGAAGAAGGGAAACGTTGACTTGGTCGTCAAATTCATGGCTTTCCGTGTCGGAATGATTGTTCTGGTCAGCCATATTGCACAGTGGATGTTAATCAAAGCACTCAACACACGACTGGTATGGATCGCCCCGTCACGGATAATAGACACAGACCGATGAGTAATTAGACTTTTTTAGGGAAGTCCGCCGGTCGGTTTGGTCAGTTTGGCGCTGATAGTTGCTTTGCGTATTATATTAAATGCATGTATTGAAGGTTGAACGTCACGCTATTAAAGGTTTACTTTTTTTCTTTTGTGACAATACTTCCTTATTAGAGCAGCTATCAATGAAGTCTAAGAGATAGAGAACAATATTTTTGTGTGATTCGGAATATTTGGAGATAGTAAAAGGTCAGCTTTTGGGTGATCCTATCACTGGCATTGCTAGCTCATACGCACGCGATTGGGTTACTGCTGATTATGCAACTCGTGTTATTGTGAAGGGGCGGGGAGCTGTCGGCTACCTCTTGTCCCCATAGCCCTTTTCGCTTCTCTGGCTCGATGATCACCCCAATCTGGTTCCCAGAACCCGCGTTCAAGTCGTGCCCAGACTCTTTACAAAGCAGGAGTAGACTCGTCCCCAGTAGCCGTTTGCTCATTTGCATTACAATAAAATCTAGCATGTACGTGAGGTAATTTCGGGCTATTTTGTAGTTTTAGCCCGAAATTACCTCGCATCCACGTTGGATTACATTGTAATGCCAATGAGAAAAATTAACCGTGAAAAGGGCTATTATTTCTTGTGTCCAAAAGGGGAGTCGAGAGAGACTCTCGGAGTTGATTATGGGAAGGAAGAAGAGGAGAAAGTGAGATGCCTGAGTCTCCGCTATATCCTCCTTCTCATCACCTAACTCTAGTTTCCCTCAATTATTCAATTGAAAACTCCTTGAAGGCGTCGGGAGACGAGTTACATGCTAATTTACGAAATGAATAAAATATTAATATTTAATTGCAGACGCCTAAACGGAGTCTCATTTTCCTGGAGCTCTCTTCATCTGCCTCAATATGTCAAAAGACGTTTTTTACATCAATTTCTTATCCCTATTTGAGGCAACTCAATTTCCGGGTAATTCTTGGAGCTTGCTTTTTCTGAACAAATTCTATTTTGTCATTACATGTAGGTACATCTTTAAAACTTCAATTTGGATCCCGTTCAAGCCTGTTTCTTTTTTTGTTTGTTTGTTTTTTTGGTTTTATTTTCGCATCTGTCTAAGTTGTGTGTGACAACTGCAATGATGTTTCATATTAAATAAAATGAATACGCATAATCTGTAAGGTTTACATTGTAAATAGAATGGGATATTTTTCAGTCATTGTGCAGTTTAGTTAAAGCCAACTGCAAAGTTTCGGTGTTAGTTTTCAAAATTAAAACGTACAGCAGCTGAAAGCTGAATTTAATCAGCACTTCAGCACCTTGAAAGCAAAATATAGTGGTCATACAAAGTTGGTTCGTGTCATTCTCTTTCCTCTTACCCGGTGGCATCTATATCGGTGAGTCGTTAAGAAAGATATATTTACAGAGCATACTCAAACCCGTATAAGTTTTAAAATCTCTCGAGATGTTGGCTTTTTTTTGGCTGATACAACACTTTAAACCTCTCCAGAGCACATCAAACACTGTCTCGATTTAGAAAACAAAACGTTTAATCAAATATTTACCATTCCAATAAGAGCCGGCATTTGTTTTTTTTTTTTTTCAAGAGCTATTTTCTCGTGTTTAAACAGTTGCTGGTATTTTTGCTCTTTAGTTATAGAAAAGGCAAATTTGTTTCACAAAATTCAGCCACTTTGCAGAAACTCTGATTCCAAGTCGACATGAAGCTGTTCGTTGTTTTTGCGGCCTTGTTGGTGGGAGTACTGGTGAATGAAATCGACGGCGGTGAGAACAAAGTTATTTGATAATGTTTATCTCCTAAGATTGAACGGTACTGCCACTAAAATAAGACATCAGGCTCTGTAAAACCGCAGTTACAGTTTTGGAGTCAGTTAGTTCCCTTTTGAGCTGGATAGTGAAGACTTGATAAAAGTCAAATGGGCTGGGTCGAGATTTTCAAGGAAGTCCAGTAAAAAAGTGAAGTTCATTAAAATAGTTACCTTTTCAATTTTAGCTTGAGCAATGTTCGGTAATTTCTCAAATACTTTAACTACAAAGTGATAAAGTTTAAAACTCATTCTAAGATATCTCCTTTTAAGCCTGTCGCGATATTTCAAGTCGTTGCGGACGATACGCAAACAAATACAACTGTGACAACAACTCCTATGTGAGAAAACGATGCCAGAAGAGTTGCGGCTTGTGTGGAGGTGAGAAAAATAACTACATCTAGTGAACTTGGTAGATTAAAAATCGCAGTTAAGAATGAACAAAGTGGATCCAAAATTACGAACTTTTAAACTCTCCCAACTTATCAGTTTATTCATTCCGATTTAGGGCCTTAGCTAGGGAAACTGAGCCACTCGCCTCAGTCATTTTTTTTTTTCGTTTTTGTTCTTTACAGTCATCATAAACACCCTAAATCAGTACCTGGGAAGAGAATTTGACCATGGACATTGTCTCAGTCATAATTGTTTTTTCTCGCTACGACCCTGCGATTGCTTCTTTAATCTCTATTCAGTGCCGCTGTGTTTCGCTGCTGTTATGCCCGCCACCACTCTGTTTCAATATCATTACCTCTTGTGAACATCGGTTAGTTGCGCGTAAGGGAAGGAAACAGGACAGAGAGGATTTCTACTGCTAACATGTTTTGTCACTACTATCCATAATGACAACTATTCAACGAAAATGTCGATGTTTTATTTGTAGGACCTCCACCAACAGAACGACCACGCCCACCTGTGAATACAAATCAACCTCCTCCCCCTCCTTCCTCAGGTAAACCAATGCAAACTTTGAGTTGAAATAATTTAACGTTCGTTAGTTTAAGTGTGGGTTTAAAAGTGAGTTTAAGAAATTTATCGTTTTTGCCGCCTTTAAATCACAAAAAACAAGACAGGATCTCAAAAAGAAAATTATTTCATACATCTTTTAACTTAGCAGCCTGCGAATACAGCGTCTCTCTTTTGCCGTATTCGCAGCCGAGTAACTTAGTTGGTAATAAAGAAATATCACTCCATTGTTAAAACACGCTAGAATAGTGTTTTTGAATTATTGTTGTTGCTTTAGCTTGACCTAATGTGGATTTCTCTACTTTACTACCGAGAGTTCTTTCAGCTGCGTTAACACGGACATAGTTTCATATTAATCGACACGGTAACATCATTTCGAAACCGAATTAAAGTGTTTTGTTACTAGGGTTCTGGAGTCGATTATACCTTGAAGCCTCAAAAGCTAGCCCAGAAAATAAAGTTGCGACGGAAAAAGCGATTGTTGCAGTTCTTCGCACGTTCACCATTTTAATTAAACAGAAACTCTTCCCGCCAAGATTCTCCTGGTTTTTTTCGCGCCAAATAGAAGCCGTTTTCAAAAAGAGATGGCTACCCACGTTCACACAGCACACGAAACCGTATTGTTCTGAAAGCGCCCACTTTCGACAGCGTTTTCAAAAAGATGCGGGAGCATTAATTATTTCATAGTCGCCGTGTAAACGGAAGGCGTAAACGCATCGAAAAAGATGCGGTTTCAAATGAAACCACGCATCGAATAAACGGGGCCCCAGACATGTAAAGAGCCAGGATAAAGTCTTCCGTTCAAACTTTCCCTGGGAAAAGTTCTATAATGTCTCTGCAATGAAATCTATTTGCTCGCCGAGTGTTCGCTTTGTAGTTTGTTCAGCTTCGATTCATCCTTAAACAGGGGCGGGAAAAAGAAAACATGAAACAGATTGTGAATATTTTGGCAGAAATATAGGTGAAATTCTGGAAAGGTACCCCATCGTAATCTCTACTTTGCAGCATTGCTTGTATTTCTGGTGTAACAGTTTTAAATTAGGTTTCAATTCTCAAATTACAACATTTTGGGGGCATGCTCTATCGATTCTGCATCCCAAAGTATTAGCTCCACCCCCTTGAAAAATCCTGGATCCGCCCCTGTTAGGATAAATCACTCATGCTTCACAATATGCATGTACAGATGTTGTCAGCTATTTCGGAACAACAGGAGAAGCACATGTATCCACAAAATAACTCAGTTTTAGCTTAAGACATTATCAGTAAAGAGCGGAAATGTAAAATTACATCAATAATCTTATTACTGCTTTTCTATAGGAAAATGTGGATCGCGACCTAACACTCGCATCGTTGGTGGTACCCAGGCTTCTCCCGGTAGTTGGCCCTGGCAAGCCATGCTTCGTACACCAAGTGGATTCGGTTTCTGTGGTGGCACCTTAGTTGATCCGCAATGGGTTCTAACTGCGTCACATTGTGTTTCTGGGAAAAGTCCAAGAAGTCTTAGAGTGCGGTAAGAATCCCCTTAAAAATTAGAGCCTTTTCTTGTTCCATAATGTGGCGATTATTGATTCTGAGGGTGGAGATAGCGAAAAAAGACGTAAGTTCATCTAAATACTCAGTACAGTTTGTTTCATTTTGATGGGGCAGCTATTATATTAAATGATTGTTTTTAGGTCGAAAGCTAAATTAACTACGTCAGGTCTCCGTGACGTTATCAGTAAAGTGCAACACCTTCTGACCTCTATGTGAATGCCCTGAAATGCCCACGTGAAAAGAACTGTTCAGGAGACTTTATTCCAAGAATAATTCCAAACAGGTATATTTACGGACTGGTGGTAAACCTATTTTGTTGAGGCTGTCAGGACGTTTAAGTCGATATTTTATTAAATGTGGTTGTAAATTTTAACTTTTTTTACAGAATGGGAGCTCATAGCAAAAGAGGAAATGACAAAACTGCTCAAGATTTTTCAGTCCAACGAATTATTATGCACGAGAGTTACAAAAGACCATACGGTCTAAGTAACGATATAGCTCTGTTGAAGCTCAGCAAGCCAGCTCAAATCAATAACTACGTGGGACTTGCATGTCTGCCTGACGATTCAACACCAAGCTTGCCTATCGATAATATGTCCAAGAAATGCTGGATTACAGGTGGATAGTGCTGTTTTAACTACACACACCCCCGGCTGTTTATCGGGTTGTTTATTTAAACTATCTGGGACTAGATTCATTTATTTCTTTGTGCATCTTGTTGACTGCAGGATGGGGCACCCTCTCCTCCGGCGGCTCATCACCCAGAGTCCTCATGCAAGCATCAGTACCACTGGTTTCCAAGCAACGCTGTCTGCGTGGATATCCAAGGCAGATCCATGACTCCATGCTGTGCGCAGGATATGATCAGGGGGGAGTAGACTCCTGTCAAGGCGACAGTGGGGGACCTCTAGTGTGTGAGTTCGGAGGCAAGTGGTATCTTGAAGGAGCCACTAGCTGGGGTCATGGTTGTGCGGCCCGCGGCAAGTACGGTGTCTACGCCAACATAAGATACCTGAGGTCATGGGTGAGAGGCAAGATGGGCAGATATTAAGCCTCGAGTCATGATCATGTAATGAACTTGATTTTGAAAAGTAATAAAATATGTTTTGAGCTTAGGGCCACTGAGTAATCACTTTTTTGCGTGTGAGAATGGAAGTGTAAAACCCTACTCCTGTCCCTACAGGCCGCAATCCTTTTGGTTACCACTAACAAAAAAATAACTACCTTTAGCGATTTGGAGTTTTTGACTAAGAGTAGATTACTGAGTTTTGATTGTTTCGACTAAAATATCGTGGCTTCTGGCAGCGAGAGTTGATATGACTTTACCTCAGTGAATTTTCCAGTCATCCGAATTTTTAGCACCACAAGGCGACCGTCATTTCGTGTAATGGAAACTTTCTTTAAAGCGAAACGGTCTTCTTCAAGGTATTCTAGAGACTCTGTCGCACAGAAAGATTGAATGAAGCCTGCGAATGTTCTTTTTTTTAATTTTTTCATAGCAGGACAAAAACTGCGCAAAAAATCTAGCGCGCTCAAATATATTAAAAACACACACAGTCGTATATGTTGTTTAGAATTCTTTCCGATTGCCAGACAACAACAACAAGCTTTATTTCCTTTGGTCCCACAGAAACAACCCGAAGATTAGGGTTACGATGACATTAGTGACTACGCCTTACGTTTGGTAGCCACTGAAATTAACAAACAGTCAGTGAAGACTGTTTAACGCCTTAATGTTACACATGATTTACTCCAAATTTAACTACAAATTTTAGTTTTTAAAAATCGGGAAACAAAAGCATGAAAGTCAGTACTTTTTTACACTTTTTAGTGGTTTTTGTGGTTAACTCGTACGAGCGTTCCCGATTAAAAAAAACAGCCTGTTTATAGTCTGGATATTCCTATTACATTTATATCTTTGGGACTGAAAAAAACACTTAACGTGCTACTTGGTTGAAGAGTGGTCTCCTTGGGCTCAAAAACCTTCAAGTACTGTCTCAATGCATCTGCACAGCTATGCTTGGCTAAAGGACCGTAGCTGTTTACATATGTGCCAGGATCCCAAACTTTTAAGCACACCATTCTAACTACGAATATCGCTCTTAGACATCGCTCTCAGACAGATCTGTCTAGACATCTATCTTTTTTATCCAACTGATATCAAAAAGAGATAGGCGTGTTTTACCAGGTGTAAAGTGTTTTTCACGTATTTAGTTTCTGCGCTCACCACTGGTGATGAAAAGAATATCACTCTCATCAGGTATCGTCAGAAATTCGATTCACACCAAGTCACAGCTATGAATTTGTTTGTCTATTTAATTCTGTTGCTGACTGCTTTGATAATAACTGATGTTAAAGGTATGATCAATTCATACTTTTTGCGTTTGTAATTTCGATTTCTTTCTCTTCAATGGCAATTTAATTGCTAAACTAGAGACACCTTAAGAGCAGATTTCTCTAATGGTCACCTGTACCTATGCAGGATAGAAAAATTCGATTTTCTGAAACTTTGTCAGGAAGAAGGTTTTTACTAACTTATTTCAAAACTCTGCCTTTGAGGTTGTTTGGATTTTTATTTTCTTGTGGAGACGGCCTTGCGTATTTTTCCCCGAAAAGAGCAAAACTTGACCCCAAAATTACACTTTTTGTGAGCGCTAGCAAGGCAAAATAATAAGCGTAACTGGAAAAGCTAACCCATGGTTCTAAAATATCATCTTTTAGCAGTTATTTAAAGTTGTCAGATAAGCATGAAATTTAATTGAGACGCTCTCAATTTTTTTGGTTTTATTTACCCAAGCTAGATTTACGATAAAAACTTAGCTTAAGTGATACTTTTAACCAGGAAAATAGTTTGGGCAGGGAAATCCATGTACCAGGTTGACTTTCTGGTCCACGAAATTGACCTAAATTTTGACGTGACGCAACATCATCGAAGCGTATAATTTTAAAAATTTGCTAAAAATTTAGGTTTGAATTTCATG